CAATCAGAAAAAAGGAAGGATCTTTAAATTATTTATGTAAAAGAGCCAAGTCCAAAGGAGCATGCACTGTTTGGACCTTATCCCCTTGCACCTAAGCTTTATTAGTTACAATAATAATTTTCCAAATAAAAAGTTTTGACTACCTTTTTTGTCAAATATTTATTAGAACAACTTATTTATTATAAGTTTAGTCAAATATAGAAATATTTATTTCTTCTAAGTTCTATTATTTAAGTAAAAAAAATCATTTTCTGACTTTTAAAATAAAGCACTTTATTTAGTCTTTTGAATAAAAGATATTTTCATTTGACTAAAGAAAGTAAAGGTAAGGTTTAAATATGTTTTGGAAAATGTTACCAATTATTTTCTATCATCTTTTTATAAAACTTTTTCATAGTCCACCGAATTCCACCAGAATTTAGGGGTGTCTCTCGAAAAAGAAGCCATGTAACAGGAAGTTGGGAGGTATAAAAATAAGAAGAAATATTTTTAAAAGAAAAAAAGGTGACTGTATGTGTTTCCGTTTTCCTCCCCCAAAGAAGAGAGCATCCCAATATTTTTATTTGCAGAATTTTGTCATGTGATGTAGAACAGAGTGTAGGAGTGATGTGAACACCTGCGATGTCTCCACATTGACTAACGACCCATTTATCTCATATGGTCAGGGAATTAAGTAATTTACATATAAACAAGTAGGCAGAGATGAATGTAACTTTAAGTGTCTGAGCTTTAAAAAAAAATTATTTGGAAATATTTTAAAACCCAAAGATACATGTTCATGCTTTCTCTTAAGAAACAGAAATGTCCTTGTATCCTCCAGCCCCAAACCAAGGGTCTGAATGGGAGCGTGTATGCAGGATTCCAGCAGAATGCATAACTCAGTGTATGAAAATCCTGTAACTGGTGCAGGCTTGGCTTAATGATCCCGAGCTTTCCTATGCTAATGATGCCTCCAATGGTTTCTGAATTGTGTCGAACAGCTTCTGGAAACACTCAGTGCCTCTGTGAATCTGGGCTCTCCTTGTTATTTCTAATGATTCTCCAAAATTTTGTCTGTCGCTTTTGCTGAGGTCATTGTAGCAGCATCTTCCTGCTGGCCACTCATCTAATCTGCTTTTTAAGAATGAATACACTTCTTTTCAGAGAAAGAACTCGATGCTTACGTTAGTTATACTTCCCTTTACTCTAGGAAATGGATAGTTTTAGGGAGGCTGTGCCATTTTTTTCATTAATTAGTAAAAGGTGTGGCTTTGTAGTGTATACTTCCTGTGCTGTTCAGATATGTTTTCCTTTTTCTTTGGAGCCTGTCGCTCTTTCCCATGGCTATGGGTAGCAGCAATTGACCTCTAAATAATTCAGATGTTATATTTTAAGAAGGAACAGTATGGTGTCATGGGACACACTAAAGCAAAAGTCAAAGCGCTTATTCTTTGGTCTCAGCTTGCCCAGAGACTGGGCCCCTCCCTGTTTTGATCCCTTTGCTTTTAGGTCCTGGTGACAAGTAAAAAGGATGAAGTACAGGAAAGCGCTTCATATAAGTTGTCCTAAGAGCAGTTACTATTATGTGGCTTAAAACTGTGTACTTTTGAGAGGAAGTTAACTTTGCATCTGGGAAAGGACTTTAACTCCCCAACATTATGTGATGATCATAGTAAATAGCATAACTAGGTAAATGTGGTCCACAAATAATGCTAAAAGCAATGACAGGATCTAATGACTGTCATTTCTACTTTCTGTCTTCTTGATGATATGATTGAGTTGGGGTGGGCTCTAAGGAGCTGACTTTGTTGTGGGAAAATGTTAATGAGAAAGCCATTATATTTCAATATAGAACACCTTTTTAAATTGATTTACTCCATACCAACTAACAAGCACTCTAACTAACTGTTTTCTACCTTTAGTCTTGTAAAAGTTAAAGGGAACAATAGTTAACAAAAGCATGAAATAATGTTCTCAGGGAGGAAAAACACACCTTTCAGTGAAAAACTGAAAGACTAAGAAGGATTACTGGTGTGGAAGTTCTGCCTCTATAATCCTAGCAAAAATAAAACATTTTTGGTGTATATCTTTTATGAAAGGAATAAAGAATTTGATGGTTCTCTTAGACCTTATATGACCTTTATGTTTTCAGAGAATTGTGCCATATACTTACATAATTAAAATAAGAAACACAGAAAGATACCCTTCCACTCAGGCCTTCCCTTTAATAAATTGCATCATAACACAAATTGCATTTGTTAATCATTGGTATTTCTTTTGAGTATTCATTTGAGTCATCAGAATTGGAAGATTTGATTGCTCATGATGAATCTCTTATAGCCTTTCTTGATTATTTTCTAAATTTGATGGCAAACACTGCAACATGTCCCAGACAATTAGGCTTGTCAACTTCCAATGTGGTCCCCAATCAAGTGTTTGACTTTGGAAATGACAGGAGATTCTTATTAAAAGTCATGCTTGTTGGATAAAGATGTGGCAGCCCACACATGGGACTGATGGCAGAGAAGACAGGCTGCTTCTCATTAAAAACAGTAAGAAGAAATCAATGTTAGCAGGAAGTGATCTGGACTATGAAGTAAATGTTGAGGGAAGGAACTGAAGAGTATCTCACTTCCAGTTGATTGGAAATTGAGTCAACCTAAATGAATCTGATTTCTTATGAGCTACAGGGAGTTCAGGCACACGAGTTAAACAACAGGTAAGGAGTTTTGTTAGCGTATTAACATAGCTGGATGAGCTGTCTCTAAATGCATCTCAAACAAAGAGAAACAAGGTGCTGTGATTTTCAACACAAATTAATCCCCTCAAAGCAACAACCTTTGTAAGTCATTGTGTGAGTAAAGTGACGCATTGTGTGAGTCTTAAGTAAACTTAGAGTCGTGGTTGGAGAACACTCTGGGTCATTTCTGCAGGGGTTGAGAACCATGTTCATAGAGATTTTTTTCCCCCTTTTTTGGTAGCTAATTTCCTTGCTAAACACTACTGGAAGAGAAAAAGAGAAGTTTTAACTTTTTAAAGCAGTAAAAAAAAAAAAAAAAAAAGAAATGCTTAGAGTAAAAAATAGATCTGATCTTACACTTTACAATTTTATAAGGTTATTTTTTCCACTGTTTAAAGCATTTAGGTTAGCTTCAAATAAACAAAGTAACCCAAGATGGGAAATATTCCCAAAGAACTCAGTTTGCTCATTTAAACTAACTAGATTACAAGAACCATTCATAAAATTTGTCAATAGCTTGATTTTTAAAATGCATATAAAATATGTATTGGAGAGACACAGAGGGAATTTAGTATAAAAAATGAGTAGGAAAGTGTTTTTTCTTTTGATGATAAAATTAATAGGATCTGCCCATTTAGAAGTCAAATAGTAGCATGTGCAACTATAATAAATAATTATCTTGGCATGTTACCTTTGGGAGACAGAAAAGTAATGCTAGATTTCTTTTGAAGAACACCAGTATTTTCTTGTTGAACTCTCAGCATGCAATATAAAAATCTCAGACCACAGAGGTTCAAAAATCAATGGGCTGACAAACGTCAATATTTCAGAAGGGAAAAAAGGACATGCAACAACAGACTGCTGCATGTAGGATATTTGGCCAAGTAAGACTTGTAAAAGTTTTATACAAATTATTGACAATATAGGCTGTAATGTTAAACTACAGGTATGGGGTGTAGCGACAAAAGCAGAGTACACAAATACGTTTGAAATAATTTATGCCACCCCTTCTTCTATTTTAAACTGAAGCTACTGGGATTATGCATATGTAAATTTTACTAATTCCATTTGCTGTGAATATATTTGCAGAGGTCAACAATTGCCAGTCTTTTCAGTCCCAAGCTTTGTAATAAAATGATACCATATGATATAAAATGAAGCACAGTTAGCTATATTATGTTCTTCTGTTTGGTAATGAAATAAACTAAATAAAACCTCAGAGGTTATTTTCTTATAATCTGTTCGGTGGAATAGGTTTTTCTCTCTCTCAGTCTCTCTCAAAAACAAAGTCTGTTAAATATTTGTAATAGTAAGAAAGTTTATAACTTTTCTCCAAAGACAGACACACATAATGATTTTAATTACACATACAAGTCATTCTTACCTGCCATCTTTAATCCTAATTCTTAAGAACTCTCTAGATACATCTTAGCTTTATAGAAATAGAAGACATTTTCCATTCCACTAGGCAACACCACTCATTAGGAGTACATGCTATTTCATCAAAACTTTAAGAGTTTGACTGTATGTACATTGCACTTCACATAATATTTCATTCAGCAAACACCTTCACAAATGTGTTTCGATGTGAACACGCAGGATTATCCCACAGCACATGTAGATTAGGTCATTTGACATGTGAGGGATGGGGGCTGTGGGCCAGGGTGGGGCAGGAGGTGATATTGTTGGTGGGCTCACACCCATAACCTACTTGTACTTGCCTTTTTTACTTTTTACCACATGATGTGCTGTCAATTTAGGTTCTAATTCTGAGTCACCCTGATGTTTTAGAATGTATTTTAAATATAAGGTTTTGCATATATGCAGTCAATGAATAATGTATAAGCAGGAAGGAATCCAATTGGCAAAAGTACACAATTTCTGGGATAATTTATAAATATAGAATATTATGTGTTTAGATTTAATAACTCTTCTTATGCATGTGGAAAAATTTATACTTATACAAATATCTGTATGTACTTTATTTCTACTTGAGAAAAGATGCACATCCCTGTCCTGTAACAGCTGCATGTATATGTCTCTTCTACATACTTAAATTCATGAGTGTGTTCATTGCTCTCTGTCTGTAATATCTGATGTTTTTGCAAAACCTTATCTTTAATGGACATGAAATGAAAACTCTTCTATGGGACCATGAACTGCAGGGTGTTTAAAGAAGGGAACTGGTATGGTAAATATATATATTTATATATTTCATACAGATCAGGAAAGCCTGTTGAGGACCGTCCAACTTTAATGGCTCCTTGTCCTTGACTTTCAGATTCAAGACCTCTTCCAGATGTAGCCCTGACTGGGAAGTGCACCCGCGAGTGTGATGAATATGGCCACTCAGACTCCTGCTGGATGCCTGTCCGCACCTCCCCGGAGAGGAAGAAGAGCCAGCCCAAACTCTCCACTTTCATGCCTGTTGATGAACGAGGAAGCCAGGAAAAGCTGGCCAATGGCGAGGCTGCCGTCATGGGTGACCGCAACAGAAACCTCCTGAACAAAAAGTTGACCTCATCCTATGAGACCTTCAGTGCAGCTAGTTTCAGCAAAAGTGAGGAAGCCAATCCGGAGGACATTCCCCTTACAAAAACAGGGGAATACAAGCCATCTCCTGTCAACACTCTCACTAGAAGAGAAGTTTACCTGTAGGCTATACAGAAGCAACAACCAAGTTCTTTTCATGTATGAGAAGGAGAATAAGGGGCAAAAAAACCTTACAAAGCAAAACCGTTTAATCAGAAAGAGGGGGCTACCAAAGAGACAAAGCTTTGCCTGCCACTTCTGCCTCCAGATCAGGCCATTAGTGATGCTGTTAGCCTGATTGTAATGTACAATGTAGAAACCATCCTTGTTACTTGCATGTCTGACCCCCTCACTGATTCCCAACACCTGCTCTCCCTCTTCCCCACCATCCTCCCACCCCCCAAAAAAAGAAAAGAAAAAGAAAAAAAAGATGGTTGCAAGTTTCTTTCATGGTAATAAGCCTGATTAGCAGAACACGACACACTCTCATTACCCCTAAGCAGAAGCATGATTTTAGTCACTTTGATTTAGTTCAAATGTCACTTGACTCATCAAAAGAGGTAGATCAAGTGAATATGTATTTCAACTATATTATCAGAATCTGATTAATCACTGGGTAAAGCAATCCCTCAAAAATAATACAGTCCATCTAAAGGTACAGTTTTATGAACATGGGCTCTGTAAGAAGCGTTCTTGGGAAGATCACAGCTTTATGTTCTATCAAAGACTGAGAGCTGAACAGTAGTACCCAGTCGGAGCTTGCGGTCCCACAATCAGCTAGATTGTTCTTTTTAAGTCAGGAGCATCAACTTCAATTCCGTACACTCATTGACTATTCTTATTATACACATACTCTTGACCACTTGTATCAATTACACTGATTATAATTTATAAACACTATATGTGTGTTTTTCAGAAAAGCATCACTATTATCAACTAACTGGAACAATTTTCTCATTAAAAGGCCAAAGATCATATGGCAGATCAGGGAAATCATGGAGTAGATTTGGTCTTGACTTGTAAATCCATTGAGCAACAAAAGCAACTGAACCTATTCATGTGCAGAAATGCTCAAACGCCCGTTTACTTTATATTTTCCCCATCCCCAGAAAACATGCATTTTCTTTAAAAGTTCAGAAGATGAAAAATTAATGAGACATATTTTGGTATTATAATAGGCAGTTTAGTTGAGGTTCAGGTTTAGTTTCAAAAAATATTATCAGGGAAGATTCAACTTTTTAAAATCATATTTGTGAGGAGTTAGGGAAAGAAAGACACATTGACATGCAATCTGAAAAATTAAGTTTACTGTTATCATTTCAGAATCCAGGTAATGCTTGCTGATCTTAATTATCCACATTTCAAATTACCAATTGCATTTTATGTGTTCAGTGCACACTTCCCCATAACACAAGTGCATTAGTTTTGAACCTTGTGCAATATCACACTACTTTGAGACTGACATCATTGAAACAAGGAATCACCCTAATAGACTTTTTCAGTAATTCGATTGAAACATGATTTAATATGCGTCTTAAAACAAATCTACACTGCCCATGAAAGAAATGAGTTCTGGGCAGTAACATGTCTCATACTATGTAGATCTCAAAGTTGAAAAATATGCGGTTTTCTCAATGTAGTAAAAAGAAACAGAACATGCAGATTTTGAGTCACTTGTTCTATAGAGAATGATTTAATGCAATTGGGAATTGAGCTGGGACACTCAGACAAATGTGACAATCCAGTGACAGATAGAGGGGACCAGAGGAGAGGAAAGCAAAAGTTCCCATCGTTGAATGTGTGTACCCTGGTTAAAGCATAACCTTGATGGCTCTCTGGCAAACTGTAGAAACAACGTAGCTCTGCAGAATTTTTGAGACTATAAAGTGAAGCAGCCTGGAATATAGGTTGTTAATTCACTATAGGTCATCAAAATGCTTATCTTTGAAAACCACTTCTCTGTTCGGTGGGTTACTCTTTTGGGGTCATTTCCTTATGATCTTTCTTAAGTGGAGTTTTCATTTTGATGTTAGCTTGTGTATAATAGTTAGAATGAAAGAAGATATGTAATTGAAACAAAAACATTGGACTAAAATACCAATAATTGAACATGTTTATGTTTGATTATTATTTACATTATGGAAAGATGCAATCCTAGTATGTTGTTAGGAAACTGCATTAAAGCAGTTCTGCCTTGTATAATCTGTAAGTACCTATTAAGACAAAATACTTCTAAAGATACTTATAAAATGTATACATATTTTTTCTTGCACGTTACAGAGGAAATACTCAATTGCATAACAAACACAGGTGTTCAACAAACTTTTTTAATGCATTTTTTTCTTTCTATCATGAGACACTTGAAACTAGTAGATATAGCTCATTTCGTTCTATCTTAAAACCCTTCTCTTGTCTATAAAGCTAATACGGGTCATGTTGGACCTTCAGATTAATTGGATCCACAATCCCCAATGATGTTTGCACCACATTCAAGATAGCCATGTCATTGTCATTTAACATGTGAGCCTCTTTTTAGAACTAAAATGGGTGTGAAAGAATAAAATTCAGTGTACTGTAAGTATTCGCAGTAATTCTAGTAGAATTAGTTATCATAACATGTTTATTATATAATGAGCTGGCATGACACAGAAATATATTTTGTGTTTGTATGACTTTTATTTTGAATAGGTTAAATATGGTGCCACTCCATATATAGAGTGCTTTTGAAAAAAAATTAAAAAGAAACAAAAAAAAAATAAATGAGTGAATGCAAAATAAGCAACTGTGCCTTTTATACCTGATGTTATGGTAAAAAAACGGCTGTTGGGTTTGGACAATGAGGGGAAATGGGCTATTCCCAACTTTTTTGATCCTGTATATTTATCCATGTTTATTTTCTGAAAATAATAAATAATATATTAAAAAAATTTGCCTTCTGACAAACTCAGATAATAGACCAGTCTTAAATATTGTTCGTTCATACAACAAAATTAAAACATTAATATGGGCTGCTTAATTCTGACTAGAAGGCTGAAAAGCATTTATTGTAAGAGTAACACAGGAAGATATTATCAGGGGTGAAATCAGTCCATCTTGCAAGATAAAATATTGATTTAGAATTTCTATTCTTTATTTCCATTTTGTTGTTAATTTTCTTTTAGTTGATGTTTGATTTTGGTTGCACAATATATAAACCATACTTGTTTTCTGTACACAAGAATCTCAAGCGGACTTTGCATGCACTATACATTAGGACACATTTATAAATTAATGAGTAACTATATAAATTTATGTGTTTTAAAACGTCTGTAGCTTCAATCTAAAATCATTCCGAAACTCCAGATACCATTTCTGTATGGTTTGTGACTGGCCTGCTGCCTGAGTTTCCGAAAACAAGGGAGGCATTATTTTTATGGAAAGAGAAACTAAGATGGTACTGAAGATGTCTGGCTGAGAGGCACCCTAGGAAGCTGTTTTGTAAGAGAGTCAAGTAAACACACAAACCAGAAGAAACTGGCAAGAATCAAACAGCCATTCTAAAAACAGTCATGAGAAATCTAAAGACCTGAGTAGTTTAAGTATGCATATTGTTATCAGTGATAAATATACAATGTGTATTTAAGAGAAATGAAAAAAATGAAGATGATCATGTGATCACGAATATCACAAAGCTTGTCGGTTGTGAGGCAAGCAAAGGTGTATCTAACATCTGGAGGAAGGCATCATTTTTTCCAGCTCCCTAGGGCTTACTTTCAGAGGACTTTTCCTACATTTTAAAGCACTTGCATTCAGTGTGGTACGATCTGTTTGTAATGTTAATCATTGACTATTGTTCTGCTACTTGGATGTTGATAGTGAAGCAGAGAACAATTTATCATCGTTTATTATGAGTCACTATGCACGCAACTATGCTAAACATGGCGAAATGTATTAAACACTCGTCCAACTATTTATGAAATACTTTACATAATTTAATTTGCTTTTGTACAGTTTTATGTAAATAAATTGCTTGTCATTTTTGTCTCTGCAAATTAAAATATAACATGGTCAAATGGTTTCACACTTGTAAGTGTACTTCTCTATTGACAGGTAATTCAGTTTTGATTGGACAAGCAGTGAATGGATGCATGTACCAGTTTGATGTAAAATGGCTTGATTTCTGCTAAATTAAGATAGAGTAAGGGAAATGATACTGTAGGAATTGTTGATTTGGGGAAAAGTATATAGCTATCATAATACTTTGCCTTATATTAGATGAATCTTGAATTCTTTAGTTTCATCAAAATAATTCCCGAGACAGTTACCTACCTGGCTTTTAAATCTTAAGCATAGAAGAAATTATCATCATTAATATAAAGATTAATTTTTTCAGAGATTTTCCACATTTTAGATAAAATTAATTCTCAGTCAAAATGTATCCCTGTAAAAGCAATGTTTGTTTGTAATCTAAAGCAATGACAAATTCAAAAAAGTTGGAGACTTAAAAAATCTCATGTTTGTTATGTAGAGAAAAAAACACGAAACAAAAAAAATAGAATTTTTACATTGCTCATTTTTCTCTAGTTGAGCTTTCTCTACTTGTTATATTTTTTAATAATTTGCTTTCTTTTTTAATTACTCCATCTGTTCTTCACTATCAGATTATGCTCCTAACTATAATGGCATTCTTCTTTATTTATTAAATTGGTATCGATTGCAACTTCTTCAACCCATGAGAGACTTAAATGAGAAAAATTATTTTCTATACAGGGTGGGACAAAGGTAGGTTTACAGCAGTCCATGTGGAATATAATACAATAATTAATAAATAAGAATTCAAGCATAAACTCTTTTACGTCCTCACTACTGTAAACCTATTTTTGCCCCATCCTGCATACACAAATCAATTATGTGAAACTTTTGTGCCCTCTCAGAACAGTATTGCTAAAATCTATTGGTGTGGGAAAAGAGACATTCTGAGGAAACTTGCCTAGAAGTTTCTCTACCTCTTTTTCCCTCTCTTGGATAAAAAAATCAAAATACTTTTTACAGAATGACATATTCTTTTTTTAAAGTGAAAGATGTCCTTGTAACTTGATTTCGGCTTCAGCCTTCCTTCAGTAAAGAAGGAATAAAGAGTGAGCATGGTGAAAAAGTCTGCTACAAGCTGTAAGGAGGCGAAGGAATGATGTGAAGAAATGAAGAAATGCTTTCATTTGGCTTCTGCTTTCCTGGTGGTGAGAATCAAGCATCAGCACATAAATCAATGGAACAATACATAAAATAAAATCGCTATGTCTTTTTTCTGTAAATCTCCATATAGACTTGACAAACATATTTCTTTTCACCCTGAAATTGCACCCTTAGATTAAAATACCTTTTTTGAAAAATATCAAAAGTAAAAATACTGTGATACATTTGACAACAAAGATAGACATGAAGCAGACCAACAGAAGTTGCAGTATTACTCCCAAGGTTTAGGTTTGATTATTCTACCATCTCTGAGTGGTTGGAAGAGTTTAATCTAACTACCTAAAAGCTTTACTTAGGACATAGACCTGGTTACACAGTATCTCACATTTATAGTGTACATTATGGTTAACAAGTGGTTTTGTAAGATTTGTCACAACCTTTCCACAATACCTGCAATAGAAGCTATAGAAATTGCTAGATAATCCATGTGTGAAGGAAGATTTTACTTTTGCTAAATAATTCTCAGATTGAGTAAAAATTTGAACACAAAGTTCTACCATATTAACATCTTCCCTCTATTAGATTGTGTGCCAATTGAAATATCCTGCATAATTTAGCAGCGTGACCAAGAAAAGGAACTCTCCCCAGTTACCTGAATAAAATAGGCATTTGGTAAAGTGGGAATTTGGGGGAAAGCCACCAATGACCCAGACAGGTAGGTGATTATCTTCACAACACCCCCTGCCAAGCATCGTAACTTGTACGGGATTTCTGAAAGGAAACTGGAAATCTTGAAAATAGCATGGCTTGATTTCTTCCTGCTGAATACTGCTCACCTGATCTATTTTTTTGGTGGACTTTGATTGGATGAATAGTGTAGAGTTGGGGACTTGAATAATCACAAGCGATAGCAGTCTCAAAATTGATCAAATAATTATAGAATCTCCAAATTTAGTTTCAACAGGCTGATTCCACAAAGAAATCCATAGTTTTGAGTTTTTTTCTTCTCTGTCTGTGTCTCTCTCTGTCTCTCTGTCTCTCTGTCTCTCTGTCTCTCTCTCTCTCTCTCTCTCTCTGTCTCTCTGTCTCTCTGTCTCTCTCTCGTGAGCGCCCGCGCGTTTTCAATATATATATTTTTTGTGTTTCCATCTCAAAGCCCTTTGCCAGTCTCTGAGAAGTTATTTGCTTTGTTTTTTCCCTTTCAAAAGCAAACCTAGTTTTCCCTGCAAGAGGTGGAATGTTAGGGGGTTAATGACAAACTAGAGAATTTGCAACTCAATCAGCTTTACTTTAATAAGAATTTACAGTATCAGGACTTCAGCTCTTAGGAAGCACAGTAAATAGAGACTAAAGTTATACTTGTTTACTTTCTCTTAATTTTACCACTACTCTAACACTTGTTTATAAACAATATGGAGGAAGGATAGTAACCGAGATAATATAAAACGTCTAAGCTGCAGGGAGTGGGGAAAGGATATGAATGTAAAATGTGAAAAGGTAAAAATTTATGCTCTCCTTTAAGCTTCACTTTATTTTTTCCCATTGTGCTGCTGTTAAGTGTAAATTTTATTCATTGATTGAATTTAGTATGTGTGACCCACACAGAAATAGTTTTGTCTATTTATTGAAAGTTTTGGAGGAAATGTAGAAGATGTTTGAATGTTCATAAATGTAAAATTTGCCCCCAGCGCTCTCATGATGCTAAACAAAAATTATAGTTTACTTCTGATGTTCAGTTTTATTGTATTCCATTGAAAGTCATAATTCAAATGATCTATCTATTACCAGAAAAGTCATAAGAAAGATATATGAGGTCAACAGAGGTATTGCAGATATGTTAGAGACTAAAGTAGATTTTGAAAAAATAATAATGTTAATGTGCTTACTTAAAAAAAAAAAGTCCACTAAAGAAACTTGATATCAATCTGAAAAAAAAAGAGATTAAACAAGGTGTTTACTTCTGCTAATTTTTAAAAAAAGATTTTATTTATTTATTTATTTATTTTTAGAGTGAGGGAAAGAGAGGGACAAAGAGAAGCAGAGAAACATCAATGAGTGGTTGCCTCTCAAGTGCCTCTTGCTGAAGACTTGGCCTGTAACTCAGGCACATGCCCTGACTGGGAATCTAAGTGGCGACCCTTTAAGGGTTAGCAGGCTGACACTCAATCCACTGAGCTACACCAGCCAGGGTTATTTTGTTCATTTAATTCAAAGTGTGTCGCAGTATTCCAGCCTTAGTAAAATTAATAGTAACTTCATAGGGAATAGTCAGCTTTTTCTAAGAATGTTTTTTACAATAGTTCATGGAATATTTTTACTGCA